TCTTTCTTTCTTTCTTTCTCTTTCCTCTTCCTCCTCCTCTTTTACTACTGTGTGTTACCTCTATTACCTTCATGAGTATGCACTTTTTGCTTGAGATAGGGAGATCAACTGAATTCAGCATCAGAAAGAAGGATATATTTTTCAATAAATGTGCATGTTTATGCACACAACAATGTTGTCATTTCCACGTGAAAAGGCCTTTGAGAGCTGACTATGCACAGTCCACAGTAGTTCACTAATCTAATGCCCAGCAAGATGTAAATTTCAGATTTCCTAAGACTCCCTTTCGGCTTGATTTATATTTGTTACAAATATACCTGTTTATTTACAGATATGTAGATATGTTTATTTACAGAGATGTAGCATTCTCTTGGGAACAAATTGGCAGCTTATAATTCATCAGTGACCTGACTATTCAGGAACTGAATTTAGTGAATGAACCAGATTTATAGGAAGCATTTTTTTTTTTAAAAAAAAGACTGACTTGAGCAGATGTTGTTTGCTTTGTACATCTAAGTTGATAACTATGGACCTACAAATGGCAATGTTCCTTCAGGGAATGGAGATGATAAAAAATTGACTACTAAGCTGCAAGATGTATTGGAATAAAATGAGAAAAGCAAGAGAAAAAATTAAAAGGATGATAATATTTCTTGCAGAGTCTTCGATGCTATCCATACTTGTATTCACTATTTTTTTTCACTAGAGTAAAAAGCAAAGACCTAAAGCTCTGAATGTGATTACGTAACAATTTAATCATGTAAACTTTTAATAAATTTATCTAGCCCCTAGGTAAGCAGTTAAAATATTGTCTGTTAATCTAGATGGATTTTTTTTGATAAATTTGAAAAACAGTTTGATTTGTTACTTGGAATCAGGACCAATGAATCTGAAGGGATTTATTAGTTAGCATACATACATACATACATACATACATACATACATACATACATCAATAGCAATAGCACTTAGACTTATATACCACTTCACATTGCTTTTACAGCCCTCTCTAAATGGTTTACAGAGTCAGCATATTGCCCCCAACAATCTGGGTGCTCATTTTATGACCTTGGAAAGATGGAAGGCTGAGTCAAACTTGAGACGGTGAGATTCGAACTGCCAAACTGCAGGCAGCCGCCAGTCAGCAGAAGTAGCCTGCAGTACTATATTCTAACCACTGTACCGCCACAGCAGATACATACGTACATGCATACATACATACATACATACATACATACATACATACATACATACACCGTCTTTTAATCCATCAGACCCCTTGACCACCATCACGAGGACTTTTCCCTCTCCCGACTCTGCTGTGGGACCTCCCGCCATGATTGGGAGTTGTATTCCAGGAGGGAATTGCTAGCCCTGCGCGACTCCCCCATCGCGCAGGCATGGCCCAACACGATCCCGAGGGCCAGCCTTAATGAAAGGGTTTGGAACCNCTCTGGCCAGTGGCAAAATGATCTGGAAATGGGGGAGATAGTCATAGAGCCCTTGTCATGGTCAGATCATGCACTCCTGAGGATGGACTTCCGGACCGCTCCCCCTCGCCGCAGGGAGACGGAACCACCCAGATGGTACCGTCCCAGGCGCCTGATGGACCCGGAGAGGTTCCTGACGGAGCTTGGGCCATATCCGGAGTTAGGGGCAATTCACCCAGGACAAGACTGATTCAGCAGCTGTATTTACCTCAGGTTTATCTACATATAGACCTATCCTTCATCAAAAACAAGTTAATGTAAATTTGGGGTTCAAGGTTGATAGAAATAATACTAATTAGCATTCCTACGATCAAAATTATTTGAAAGATAGCTTCATTGATTTTCACTTAAGGGCTGATGAAGATAGAAAGTAACAGATGAACATCTGGAAGGCTAATTTTATTACCGCTCAAACTAATTGTGTTGTACATGTGTTGAGTTTATCAATTCATAAGTCCAATTAACTGTTCTTTTTCCCCATAGATACCCCAAATCAGTTATGCTTCAACTGCACCAGAGCTAAGTGATGACCGGCGCTACGATTTCTTCTCACGGGTTGTTCCTCCAGATTCCTTCCAAGCACAGGCAATGGTGGACATTGTAAGAGCTTTGGGATGGAACTATGTTTCCACCTTGGCTTCTGAAGGCAGCTATGGCGAAAAAGGCATGGAATCTTTTATACAAATTTCCAGAGAGTCAGGTAGGTGAGGAATCATCCTGCATGTAATATAATATTATGTAAATTAAAACTATAATATTTTATAAATAAATACCTCAGTTGTATCTGTGAATGTGTGTATATGTGTGCTTCAGAATACTTTTTTTAATAGTTCTATATTTTATAATTTTGTTTCAAAGATCCTTCAGACTGTTCTTGACTTTTGTAAGAATTTTCAGATATAAGGACTAAACAGCATTAATACTCTGTTAGGAAAAGATAGAACAGTGAAATTGAAGCGAGTTTCTGATTCCCCACTGTTAGAAATCTTATATTTTGGAACAATGTTCAAAGCAAAGCTTTAACATATTGAGTCTTTATTTCTTCAAGTCAGAAATACTTCTGAAGCTGGTAATTTCTTAGAAAACAAACTCTGTGTCAGATAGTTCTTGTATATTTTTCAAGTAGCTTTACATTTTTTTAACTGGATGGGCTCTCTTAAGAAGGAAATCTCTTGTTTCTGATAGAGGGATCAAATGTTGTCACCTCTGAAATAGTATTGAAATAACCCTGAGATTGTATTTTGGAACCTAAAGAGATTCAGAATCTTGCACTTTATATTCAGGGACTGTATAGATGTCCATGAAGGTACTCTCTCACTACTCCAACACTTTCAAATAAATCTATGATTTCTCCAGCACTGAGATGGAGACTCCACCATTGGGTAGTAGACTGTATTCCTGCCCAATCAGATCAAGTCAGCCAAAGTTGCCACGCCCGTCCTGGACCGTGATCTCCAGTCTTTGACTTGATCTTGCCCAGGACAGACGTTGCAAGTTTGGCTCTAGGCAGGTACAGTCAATGGTGGTTTTTTTCCATTCCTCTCCCA